TTTGGCTAACAAACACGCCCTAGCGCAGTGGAATCCCGAGGAGTTCAAGATCAAGAAAAACAGGATGGCAGCTCTGGATCGCCTGGCTCGCGGAAAAGGCGTCCTCTCAGACGAGCAGAGGGGGGAGTGGGCATGTTTCAAGACGCATTGGGACGAGGAGATGTGCAAGCAGCACAAGGAGCAATGGCCGCTCACGTTTGCTGGGTGGCTGCAAAAAGTCGCGAACGACGCGGCGTCTGGGAACCGTTCGGCGCTGTCGCAGTTCGTGCATTCGGAAACAGTGAGAACCCTGGGAGGGCAAATGGCGCTGGTATTCCCAGCCCTAGCGTGATGCAGGCCGCAGTTGCGGACCCACAGGAAGTCCAGAGGGAAGTTGTTTTTCCAAGCGGCTCCCGCGCGGGCAGGAGATGAGGCAAAACCGCAGTTGCGGTCTTCCTGCTGCTGTGAAAAAAATCCTTTCACAGTCCCTTGCAATCGTCGCCCTCCTTCTGCTTCTCCGCCAGTCCATTTGTTGTTCTTTCGGTTCCTTTGAGTCCTCGCCCTCCTTCTGCCACTCCTCGAATCCTCTTTGTCTCCTCCCTCCATCCGACCCCATGCCCATTCACGATCCATTTTCGTAGCCACCGTGGCTCGAGGTGGCGCGCGCGAAGACGCAAGCATGTGGCCGCCCGCGCGCCCGAGCGCATCCTCAGGGAGTATGGACCGTGGACTTCGATTCGCCAGAACGGTGTTCATCCACAACGCTGAGGAGGAGGAGGGAGGCAAAGACGAGGAAGCCGCAGTTGCGGATGATGACGACGACAAGCGGACGCAAGATGGCGACAGCACCGTCGCGTCCTCGGCTGCCTCCGCTGACGAGGCTGAGTCCCGGGGAGGTGCGGGAGCCGCAGTTGCGGCAGCACATGACTCCTACATGCCGAGAGTGTTGTCGTCGCGGAGACCCTGGAAACGGGTGCCCATCATCGAGACAAGCAATCTGTCGGAAAAACAAAGAGCTCTTGTCGACGCATGGGAGGAGAAAACGGATTTCGAAGCGGGACGGGTCGGCTTCTACGTGGCCAACTTCGGAGGGACTGCAGCTAGACCCACGCAACGCGCGGACGAGTGGGCGCAGCTCCGCGCGAACCCTGCCCAGATCATCGCCCTCTGCGAGTGCGACGACGAGACCTGCGCGTTACTCAGTGGGGAGCACGACGCGAGGGACAGTGCAGCCGCAGTTGCGGACGATAGGTTTCGGAGTCGGACTCAATACAACTACCTGTGCGTTAAGGGCGGCGAGCCATCAGGGACCCTCCTTGTTGGCATGAGGGACCGCAGTGGCGGCCACATTGAACACGTAGACTTTGCGAGACTCTTCCACGAGCTGGAGAAGTCCAAAACGAAGAAGAAGAAGAAACAGTCCGCAGTTGCGGAGGCTCCTGCGCCAAAGCTGCACAACAAGTACTCCAGGGCGATGGTGGTGCGCGTCCACCTGGACCAGGCCGTGCCCCATTTGGGGGGCTCCTTCAACGTCGTGGCGGTGCACGTCCACCACAGCTTGGCCAACCAAGACTGGGGCGTCACGAAGCTCCATGAGTTCTACAACTGGTTCGTCGCCTACGTCAGGGAATGGACGTGAAGGTCTGCATGGGGGACTTCAACATGTGCATGTTCCAGCTTGTGTCCTGGTGCCGCAATTGCGGCCTGACTGTGGACGTCGCCGCGTGGACCCCCTGGAAGACAGCAGGCGGCCAGCCCAGGGCAGACAGCATGGCGATTTTGTTCATATGCTGTCCTGGGCAGTACAAGCTTCACCATGGCCTGGGTGTTCTGCACGACCGTGAGGGCGGATTCTTGACGACCCAGCATGATCCGTCTTTCCCTGTCTTCGACTACACGAATGGCCCTGGGAAGATGCTTCAGACTTACGTGCCCAAGGCTGAGCCCGTTGAAAACAAGATGCGCGCCTTCCTGACGCCATCTGGCGAATCCTTGACCGCAGTTGCGGAGTTCGAGCAAAGGATGGCGCGCAGGGAACGCGACGATTGGGTGCGCCATCCCTTCAGAGTGAAGCAGGGCAACCTCGACGACAAGATATGGCATGGCGCCTTCGGCAGGGCGAGGCACGGAGCGCACTTCCCTCTGGTGGCTTTCACGCACAATACGTGCCGCAGGTCACCTGAAAGACTCGCCGCGAGGTTGGAACGCAGGTAGGGCGGCAGGAAGGGCGGCAAGAAGGGCGGCAAGAAGGGCAGCTACGCGGACACCGCAGTTGCGGGGAAGGGCGTCCGACCCCAGATGGGAACCGCAGTTGCGGGGAGAGACGCTGGGGCTGAGCGAGCTGGGAACACGCCACCGCCGCAAGCTGCAAACGGCGACGATGCGACCCCTTCTTGGGCCGCAGTGGCGGCTGGGTCCTGGGACGCCAGCGGCAGCGGCGCATGGGAGGCGCGCAGTCCCGCCACGAGATGGCAGGGCTGGTCCTGGTGGGACTGGAGCTCGAGCGAATGGGGCGCTGATG